AAAGTTAGTTATCTATGATCCCTCTCTTTCCCTCCTCTCCCATCCTCCTCTTCATCACACACATACCATACACACATGAATGCTTAATTGAGTCAAAGCTTTCATCTGAATGAAATGTTTGAGGAGTGTAATAGAGCTGAAGCAGTATTTTTCTCTAGAATCATTTGGCATGCCAAGTCTTCAAAGCAAAATTAAACAAACAAATCACAGAGCAACAAGATTTAGAAGAGTTGGAGAAGGATAAGGTGAATTCAAAGCTTAGTAAAATTGTGTGTGTGTGTGTATACATATATATATATACACACACATACTTATCTTTGTACACATAAATACATATACATGCATACATATATACTTAAGAGCTTACTTTTAGTATATGAAGAGATTAATATGCACAGAGCAGTGCTGGGATTTGTTTGTTTGTTTTGTGGTGGTAGGGAGATATCTGGCAACTTTTTTAGGTAGACGGTAGAAGGGGCAGGACATGGCTAATTAATACCTTTCAGTCATTTGTGGAAAAAGAATTTATCAATATCTTGATTGGGTTGTTTGGTTGTTTTTTGTGTTTTTAGTATACAAATCTCATGTTCCTCTTTTTAGTCCTTCTTTCTGAATCATTCAATTACTCAACATATCCACATAGTTATCCTTCTGTTCTACTTAAGATATGTGTATGTGTAATCACTAAATATTTGTACCCACATTTTCCTTCTTAGAGGTCTACTTAATAATGTTCAGTATTTCTCCCCTTCAGTACAGAATTCAGTGAACTCCAGAGATGTAAGGAGGTAAATTCTGATTAAGTACAAGATTGATTAAACCTATAAGAGTTTTCCAAAAGATGACAATTGCCAACATGATGTTATATTGATTATTTTTAACTTGTCATTACTCTGTATTCTCATTTCATTTGTTTGAGAATTAACTACCTGTTACTTTCCTAGTACGAGAAAGTAAAATTTTAGGAGAACATTTTGGTTTTGCTTAGTTAAGTTCAGCTTTTCAGGTGTGGGTGGTAAGGCAAGAGTAATACTATCCAATCATTTAGGACTTTAAAGCATAGCATTTTAAGTAAGATGAGGTAATCACTTAGTTGCTAGTCTGATAAAATAGCTTAAGTAATTGGCAGTATTGTTTGTGTGTTTCTTTTCCTATTTCCAGATCCAGAATGAGATGGCATCAACATTAGAAAAAGTTACTCAAGAAAGAAATGACAAGAACAATTCCCAAGGAAGAAGCAATAAGGCATCACATTTGAACAATGATGCTGAACTTAGAAAGATATTTGGTCTCACTAAAGATTTGAGCGTGTGCCTTACTCGGATTCCTCACCATTTGGGCTCTGGAGGAGGTTTTGATTCCTTTAGCTGTTTGGTGAAAAGTGATACTTACAAAGAGACAGAGTTTATAGTGAAGGAGGAAGGGAGAAAACAGGTAATAGATTTTAAAGTGTCCTTTGTAGGTACTCCAAAGATATATGAATGTATTAATTTTCTTGATTTTTTTTTTTAGTCTTGTGCATTAATATGAATGATCGTTGTTACCAAATTTGCATGTATATGTATTATACTAAAACAGTGTTAAGAAGAACCATATATGCACAGGTAAAAATGCATCCCCAGTTAATTAAAAATGTTGCTTTAGGGAATTCCCTACCAGTCTAGTGATTAGGACTCCGAGCTCTCACTGCTGAGGGTCCAAGTTCAATTCCTGGTCAGGGAACTAAGATCCCACAAGCCACATGGCATGGCCAAAAAAAATAAAAAAGAAAAAGAAAAGAAAAGAAATGACAGAAATGCAGGGAAAATATAAGCATGCAGATACTCACTGCAGTATTACTTTAATTTAAACATCTTAAGAAATCTACACAATAATGATGAAAATAAAATCCCTATAACTTTGCTTACTGTCATTCTACTTATAAATATTTCATTATTGTATAATATCCTGAACTTCAGATCTGAAACCGGTCAACCTTTCCCAGTGCTAATCTTCCCTATGTGCCTACTCTGCAGAGGAAAAAATAAATAAATAAATTCTATTTCTTACGCTCTTCACAAATGGTTGTTAAGTTTTCATAGTAGATAAATATAGCTTCTAATATTTGACTTAAGCAGGAATATGTGAATTATATTTTGTTGAGTTGAATTTAATGGCTAAATATTTGTATCTGCAAACTTTGTTAAATTCGAGAGCACACTATTCAGCAATAATATTTTGTTTTTCTTTTGGAATCTTACTCAACATTGCAACAGGGTTTTGATAAGAAAAGAAAAGCAAAAACCAATAAGAAGATGGATCACACAAAGAAGAGAAGAACCGAGAGTGTTTATAACACAACTGTAAATGGAGGAACTAATGTCACCAGTTCCCAACTCGTTAGCAGTATTTTACCAACTTCAAATGTATCACACCATAACATTCTCAGAGGCCGCAACAAAATCAGGGAAGAAAAGAGATCTGAGGTAGAACACTGTACCCATGGGAACGAAGAGAAAGGCACACTGAGTTCAAATACAGCTTTTGAGCAAAGCCATTCCTTCAATAAAAATTATACTGAAGATATTTTCCCCATGACACCACCAGAGTTAGAAGAAACCATTAGAGATGAAAAAATACGAAGACTTAAGCAGGTGCTGAGAGAAAAAGAAGCAGCTCTTGAAGAAATGCGTAAGAAGATGAACCAAAAATAATAAAATGTTGCTATACGTAAAGACCAGTGAAATAGCTGTGTTTTTTCATATACTTTTGCATTAAGTTAATTATAGATGCATTCTGAAAGTGTCTTTGAATGTTAAACTTGTCTTTTCATCAGTTGATTATAAAATTTTATTTAAGTAATACAGAAAAGGTTGATTATATGACTTTTGTAAATAATCTCATGGGGTATCTGAATCTTTGTCTAGATACCTTTTTTTGGAAGGAAAAGTTTTCTATTTTTCTATTACTTTAGCTTGAATTCCCCAAGTTTGAATATTTGTTATTGTTTGTACATTTAGCTAAATTGCTCAGATGTTATTCCAACAATAGGTAATTATTGTGTACTTTTAAAATTATACAATCCAACAGAGTAAATCAGCTCTAAACTTAGCTTTTCCAATGGGCTTGTATATCTATATGTCTCTTTACCCATAAAATGATACATTCTACTCACCATTGTTGTAAGTTTTTTAAAAATTTCATGAAAGAAAATGTATTATAGCAGCATTATTTAAAAATTCAAACATTTCTCAAGAGTGAGGGACATTTGTTTTGTAACCTTTACAAAGTAGTTTCATATAATACAAAATGGGTTTTAGAATTCAGGCCATATAGTGTATTGTTTGCTTAAAGTGATATGTTATTATTCCTAGACAAACGGTTCCTTTTTTTGTGTGTGGGGGGAATATGTACATATGTGACTTGGATTGTGTGAAAAGTAAATATGAACATGGCCACATTTAATACTTTTTTAAATGGTAAAGTGTAGTTTTTCATTATAGAGGCAGACATTTTCCTATCTGGTTATCTTTGATTTGGCGAGTTGGAGAATGGTGTAGAGATGGGGATTAAGGGGGAGGAAAGGGTTATTTTTTTTTAAATGATTAACAAATTCCTGGAAGTAGGGTCTGTCAAATAAAACCTGGACATTGGCAACAAAATAGAAAGCAGTAAGTCAGAAAATACTGAGAAGGAGTAGAACAAATGCAAACTGAGCATCAGCTAGATTCTCTTATCTTTTTGTAACAGCTTTATTAAGATAATTTGTATATCATAAAGTTCACCCTTTTGAAGTGTACAACTCAGTGGTGGTTATATTCACAGAGTTGTGCAACCATCAACATGATCTAATTAGAACATTTTCATTACCCCCAAAAAAACCTCATACCCATTAGCAGTCACTCCCCAGACCCTCCTTCCCCCAGCCGTTGGCAACCACCAACACTTTCTGTCTCTATAAATTTGCCTGTTTGGGATATTCATACGCATGGAATGAATCATTCAATATATGTCCCTTTGTGACTGGTTTACTTCACTTAGCTTAATGTTTTCAAGTTTCATCTGTGTTGTGGCATGTACTAGTACGTAATTCTTTTTTAATTGCTGAGTAATATTCCACTGTATGGATATAACACACTTTATCATTTATTTGTCTATGGACATTTGGGTTGTGTACACATTTGGCTACTAGGATGTTATGTTGCTGTGTTGCTCTGAACGTTTGGGTACATGTTTTGGTGTGGACATAATGTTTTCAAGTCTCTTGGGTATATACCTAGGAGTGTAATTGCTGGTCATACCCTAACTCATTGAGGAACTGCCAAACTATTCCAGGCAGATTTTTCTCCCCCTACTCCACCAAAATGGATCTTGTTAAGGACACCAGTGACTTCCATGTTGCTAGATGCAGTGGTCAATTGTCAGTCTTAATTTATCTATCAGTGGGAATATAAGTTCATGAATTATTACTTCCTTTGAAAAAATTTTAAACATTTTATAAAAGAATCAGTACATGTCCATTGTGGGAAAATTGAAAATACAAACTAAAATATTAAAAATTCACTTTCCCATCAAGCTAAAACATTAAATTTGGGGGCTAGGAGATACATAGTTAAAGGCTATCAGTAAATAGATATTATTTGAAGTCATAGGTCTGGAAAACTTCATTTAGGGAAACAGTATAAACAGAAGTTAAAATGGTGGGCTCATGTCAGAGTACATTTAAAGGTTGGAAAAAGGGCTATCTCAAATGAATTTTGAGGATTGGAAGATTATTGAATGAATTGTATTTATAAATCCTTGAATAGTGCTTGACACATAGCAGTGTATCAATGTTTGTTAAATAAAATAAATTCAACTAAAATCATCCTAACAGACATGTTGCATCCATTTTCATTTCACTTCATTTTCTTACCTTCTCCTTTTGATGTTTTCTGCTTCTCTTACTATTAAGGCTTTGCTGCTCATGGAATCATCAAGCACCACATTTCTTCTGATAATAAATTCCATGGTATGGAAATGTGGCTTGAATTCTTTATAGCAAAATTCTCAAAATTTGTTTATACTGATGGTCTCAAACTCCTACTTCTCATTCTGAAATGCTCTCAAGTTAGGGTTTTGTCTTTACCACTCCACTAAACCTGTTTTTCTCAAGGTCTTCAACAATCAACATATTGCTAAATCTAACGGTCAGTTCTTAGTCTTTATCTTATTTGACCTGTCAGTAGCATTTGACACTTTTTATAAGTCTGTCATTGAAATTTGTTCTTCACTCTGCTACCAAGACACCATATTCTTGATTTCCTACTACCTTATTGGTTGCTCCTTAGTCTCTGGTTGATTCCTTCCCTTCTCCATGGTCCATAATATTGGAGTTACATACAGCTCAGTCCTTGTATGCCTTTTATTTTATACCTATATTCAGTCATGATAGTCTCATCTAGTTCTCATGGATCAAATTACCATCCATATTCAGGAACTCTTCTCTGAACTTCAACATCGTGTATCAAACCACCTTCTTGACATTTCTATTTAGAAGTCCAATGGGCATCTCAAAATTAACACAGGCCAAACCTAGGTTCTAATTATCCACACCCACAATTTGCCTCAACCAAGATCTTCTCTATCTCAGTTAATGACAAATTCAGGCTTCCACTTGCTCAAGTGCACACACTTGGAGTAAACCTTGATTTTTCTTTTTCTCATGCCCTAGTCTGTTAGGAAATTTTCTTCATTTACCTGGAATCTGATCATTATTTACCACCTCTACTGTGACAACCTTGCATTATCTCTCATTTGGATTATTGAAACCACCAACTAACTGGCTCCCTGCTTCCATCAGTGTCCTCCTACAACCTTTATTTATCACGATAGCCAAGTAATTTTGTTAAAAGTATAAGTAATAAGGGGGAAAGGGCAAAAAACAGAATAGAAAAATGGGAAAACTATATGAACAATTTATGATAAAAGATATAATAATGACCTTCAAACATGAAAAATATTCAAATTCACTGGAAATTGGGTAAATGCAAATTAACACCACTCAGCATTTTTCATTGGTCAGAATGGAAAATATTTATGAATGTGGAAACATTATTTTGGCAAGACTGTGAAGAAATAGACTTGTTTATACGTTGCCGATGGGAATACAAATTGGTACGATTTTTCTGGAGGGAAATTTGGTGGTGTCTAACAAAATTACATATGTATTTACCTTTCAACCAATGGGGCCAGCAATTCTGTTTCTAAGACTCTATCCTGAAGATATACCTCCAACAATATTAAAATATATATACAGAAATATTAATTACAATATTGTTTTTAATTGCAAAGTATTGGAAACAACCTAAATACCCATTCATAGGAAAGTGGTTGAAGAAACCATGATATGTATACACAGTGGAATGAGGAAGAGCTTTATGAACTGATATGAAGTGATTTCTAAGACATACTATAAAATGAGAAATAGCAAAGCACAAAAGAGTATTTATAGCATGCTACCCTTCATATAAGAAAGAAGAGCTATAAGAAAATACACAAACATCTGTTCATTTGTACAAAAAAAAATACAGGAAGGATAAACCAAGAGCTAACAAGACTGATACCTAAAGGAAAGGGATAGAAAGAAGAGGGGAATGGCAACAGGTTAGCAAGGATGAAGTAGAGTAACATTTCTCTGATTATATCTTTTTGTAGAGCTCTTAGAATCATACTAATGTCTTGCATACTCTTCACATACCCCTAAATAAGCAAATGATTAAAACCAAGCAGGAAATGATGACAACACAAACTGGAATGCAAATACTAACAAATGAAAGTAAATATATTGTGAAAGAACAACATGACCATACTTAAGGGGATGGAAAAGAAACAACTAACCTAAGTAACTTAGAAGCAGTATCTTCAGTGAGCACAAAGCTAAAGACTTAAGCACTGTAATCTAGTTAGTAAATGTTTTTCTCACAGGGATATGAGTTAGCAATCCTGAAACTACATTTGTGTGTATACTAGAATTGAAAAGTAAGTACATATATTGTAGATAGTGAAAGACAGGCTTCTTACAGTTGGAGAAAGACATAAGGAAATGAAGAAGGCTAAAATAATCCCTGTGGTATTGGACTACAATAAGAGGCATCAGTATAAATTCATGGTTTTTGATATATATTCAGACAGATAAAGAAATATATATATATATGGGGGGGTGGTTAGTATACATTCATATATTTCCTAACTAACTCATTCAATGAGAAGGCCTAGAGGCAGTGACACTCCAGAACAATGAGCACACTTAGCACCAGATCTTGGTTTCTAAACACGATTCTCTAACATAAGGAACCAGGGTTCCTTAGATAATTTGATTTCAGGGCAGGCTGGAGCAAAGAAAATACAAGGTGAACCTAAAACATTTTGTGATGTCAGAAGGTAAGGAAATTCTCCCCCCAAAGATGGAGGCTTATCAAAAACAGAGGAGCGGGCTTCCCTGGTGGCGCAGTGGTTGAGAGTCCGCCTGCCGATGCAGGGGACACGGGTTCGTGCCCGGTCCGGGAAGATCCCACATGCCGCGGAGCGTCTGGGCCCGTGAGCCATGGCCGCTGAGCCTGCGCGTCCGGAGCCTGTGCTCCGCAACGGGAGAGGCCACAACGGTGAGAGGCCCGCGTACCGCAAAAAAAAAAAAACAAAAAAAACAACCCCAAAACAGAGGAGCTAATCTGAA